CAATGGCAATTACGACCGGGTGCAGAGTTCAAGTTGCTGCACAAATCACGGCGCGAAATGACGAGTCAACTATCAACCTCGGCTGCCAGAGCAGGACTCCAGATTGAAGTTCCAGTTCTCCATAAGGAAGAGCTTGATGCATGTGCAGAATTGCAGGCGAGTTCATGTTGATCATTTGTCCTGGGAGCAAGGAGCAAGGAGCATGGAACATAGAGCCTGCAGCCTGCAGCCTGCAGACGTGTGACGGGCATTTTGGCAAATAGTTTTGCTGACTCGTCGTCGTTGTCGTCCAACTCACCTTCCTGGTGAGGCCAAATCCCTGGGAAACGGTCTGCCGAGAAATTCCATCAGCTGATCGATTAGTCCTTGCCAGCGTGGAAAATACTTTCGCCAAGGGAATGCATGTCACTATGGAGGGGGACGAGGAACGACGAGCAGGAAGGAAGCTGGACAGATCCCTCACGTTTTTCCTCTTTTTTGTAGCCCCCTTTACGTCACGTTTTATGGCTGCCAATGCGAGTTTATCTTTGGCCAAGAGCGTCAACGTCTGTTTCGTCACCGCCCCGCCTCGCATCGCCTCACATGTCCTTGGCCATTTTGTTGCAATTTTTATGCGCTCTTATGCACTTCAGTTGGCATTTCACCTCCCATTTCGCAGACTCCTCTACCCTACCCTATGTATGGACTCCCACACTCGAACTGAACACTTGGGCATCTCTTAAATGCCTTATTCGGGCATTGGTGCCTTGCCACTTGGAAAAATGTTGTCCTTCGCTAAATTGAGCAGCGCTTTTTTCTGCCAACTCAAAAACAAGTATATGTATTTTAGTGAATGGTTGAGAACTTTGAATACCCAGGGTTTTAAAGATTCAATATATCCAATACATCTTAGAGATAATCGTCAATCCAATAGTTTGTTCATAAAAGAAAAAGAGTCTTATATTTAGTTTCAAGAAAATCGTTCTTTATCGAATCAAAACTATATAATTTGTCTTAATATATGACTGATTACCTTTCCTACGTCTAATATTGATTCTTTTAAGAATAGAAATACAACATAAATGGGACTCATTACTCTTGTTCACTAATTTAACCAAATATCATATATACCCCACCAATTGTGAACCCTTAAGGTATCCAAAAGTCAGAGTAAAAATATGTGAGACTTTGTACCGATTCCTTTTGAAGTGTGACACAGCATTTTGGCTCATTAGGAGAGCTCAGAGTTACTCCGCAAAAAGTTGATCAAATTTAATCAGGAAATCGCATGTAAATATTTGAGGGCCCGGACTGGCGTTTTTCAGAAGTTTAGGCTTTTGGCTCTAATGAACCATTCAGCAAATGTCCTTTCCAGTACGAGTGAGTGAGTGAGTGTGTGAGGCGGAAAAAAGGGAGTGTGAGTGTGAGTCAGTCAGAATGTGAATGTGTGGGGATAATCACTGCATATGAATTAAAAAGTTTCTCGTTGGGGTTTGGGTTTGGGTTTGGGTTTGGGGGGAAAAGCGAAAATATTTTGTAGTTTAAAGCAATTTGAAGTCATTTGTAGCCAATTTACGAAATGTCTGACTCAGTGTGAGTGTGAGTGTGAGTGTGTTCGAATGCAATTACAGTTGCTGCTGGCTCACTCAAACGCAGACACACATGTTCGTCACTCGTCGTCGTCCCTTTTTGTTACTACTTTCTTTTTTTAGCTGCAAATGAGTCATGCTAATGGCAAACCATTAGCAAAAATGCCACTGTGTGTGTGAGGGTGATAATTAAGTTGGCCATGTGTCTGTGTCTGTGTGTGTCTGCAGCGAAATGAAAGAGAAATGTGATTTTGAAGGCTGTTGTTAAATATTTAAATGTATTCCATGGACACGAAAGCCATTCCCCTTTGTGTTAGTTCATTTTTTCTTATTTTCCCCTAGTTTTTGCGCCGCCCTGATTACTCTTGCCTGGCATTCGCGTTCTGCGCCAAAAGTCTAATTGCAAAGGAAAATTACTTAAATTGCACACAAAGGTAAATCTTTCAAGGTGGCCCAACAAAAGTGGGTTGAACATTTTGCTAGAAAACCTTGAAAGAATTTTGATTTTCTTTACGAAAAGGGAAATTCATAAGGTTTAGATTTTGATTGGTAAAAGTTTAAGTGTTATTATGGGTTCATATTCAATGTGGAATGATTTTGTAATAATTTCATTCAAAGGAGAGTCCTGCTAAACCGCACGGAGTATATAACACTTCTGCTAATAAAAAATACTCCTATTCAAGAGCCCATTTATTACAGAACTCTATTACCATTATCTAAGTGAACTATAACACAAAACAATAGCGGTGAAAATATCCACGATTAGGCCAAATTGATAACCAAAAGTATTACTCAGCTTTTGTGGCAAGAAATTAGGCCCACATATTGACGGGTCGGCAGCACTTGCTATTTCATTTTCATTTACCTTTTAATTGGCCTAATCAAGCCGCTAATTGCACGAGCTATTAGCTGACGGAAAAACCGAACTGAAGTGGTCTCTCGCCAGCCAGATATTTTATTGTTATGTGTTCGAGTCGGGCAGCGCTTCAAAATTGCACTTTAATGGCTAATTTAGTTTGTGTGTGTGTATTATAGAGATGTGTGCAGTGTTCCTGTGTGTGTGTAGAGCCCATATAAAGACAGGACATAAAAGGACAAGGGGCCTTTGCCAGGACGTGAGTGTCAGCGGAAGCGTTCACTTGAGCAATGACGATACGACATTTCCTTAATGAAGTCCACGTAACAGTGATGCCAACTATATTAGAGGGAAAGTGAATAGTTGAAGGAGGGAAGAATGGAAAATCTATTTAGCTAGAGAGCTAAACAAGCTTAGTTAGCGTAAATAATGCTAGGTATTGTAATTTCACTCAAAAGCCTGAAAAACAGTGAAGGAGACATATACCATATATATTATTGATCAGGCTTAGTTATGAGTTTTTGAAATTTTGATTGGTCGATATATGTAAACATATAGATAAATGTCGATTTAAGGAATGCGAAAAAAAGTAAGTAACAGTAAGTAACTATGACCAGTAAGTATCAATGAACATTAAGTAATTATAATTAGTCAGTAAGTAGCTATGACCAGTAAGTAACTTTGAACAGTGATTAACTATGAGCAGTAAGTACCTATGATTAGGAAGTACTATGACCAGTAGGTATTATTGATCAGCAACTAACTTTGAACACTAGTAAACAATGACTTGCAACTTTTGTAACACAACACATTCCTGATACTTGGCCGACAGCAGTCACTTCGTTCCGGGGATGTTAGAACGAGTTGAGAATCATAATCATAGATGTGCGAGAGGTTTTTTGGAACAAATTTAAGCTAATTGAATAAAACTATGGAGTTATTCTTCTATATTATTTTACTAGTATTTAATTTGGAGCATGTGGAATCGGTGGACTATATATATACATATATATAGCTGACATAGGAACAATCGGAAGATTTATAGATCTATGATCTGTAAATAACTATGATCAGTAACTAGCTATGACCAGTGAGTAACTATGATTAGTAAGTATCAATGAACATAAAGTAACTATGAGCCGTAAGAGTAACTCTGAACAGTGAGTATCTATGACCATTAATTATCTATGAGCAGTAACTATCTATGACCAGTAAGTATGTTTGATTAGCAACCAATTTTGAACACAAGTAAACAATGACTTGCAACTTTTGTAACACAACACATTCCTGATACTTGGCCGGCAGCAGTCACTTCGTTCCGGGGATGTTAGAACGAGTTGAGAATCATAATCATAGATGTGCGAGAGGTTTTTTGGAACAAATTTAAGCTGATTTAATAAAACTATGGAGTTATTCTTCTATATAATTTTACGAGTATATAATTTAGAGCATGTGGAATCGGTGGACTATATATATACATATATATTAGCTGACATAGGAACAATCGGAAGATTTATAGATCTATGATCTGTAAATAACTATGATCAGTAACTAGCTATGACCAGTAAGTAACTATGATTAGTAAGTATCAATGAACATAAAGTAACTATGAGCCGTAAGAGTAACTCTGAACAGTGAGTATCTATGACCATAATTATCTATGAGCAGTAACTATCTATGACCAGTAGGTATGTATGATCAGCAACTAACTTTGAACACTAGTAAACAATGACTTGCAACTTTTGTAACACAACACATTCCTGATACTTGGCCGGCAGCAGTCACTTCGTTCCGGGGATGTTAGAACGAGTTGAGAATCATAAACATAGATGTGCGAGAAGTGTTTTGGAACAAATTTAAGGTGATTGAATAAAACTATGGAGTTATTCTTCTATATAATTTTACTAGCATATAATTTGGAGCATGGGGAATCGGTGGACTATATATGTATATGCATATATATAGCTGACATAGGAACGATCGGAAAATTGTAAGAAAAAACATTATAACTTTTCCAGTTTTCAACAGATTTTCATCAAATTTGATATATAGCCATTATATATTAATTTAAAATTTTGTCTAAAATATTTTGAAAATCGGACTACTATATTATATAGCTGCCACACAAACGATCGTTAAAAAGAGAGAAAAATGCAAAACGGTGAAAGAAATGAAGTCCCAACTAATGTTTACTTCTACTAAGACCCACAAAGCACTTAAAAAAGGGACAAAATATATTTGTTCCAAGTTCCTTGCCCAGAAAAAGGACATGTGAACAGCACTGCAATGCAAACACAGGCACACAAAGTGCCAAGAACATAAAAGTTGATGGCCCGAGCTCAGCTCATTTGGTTGCATATATACACACATATGCACTAAACGGGGCCAACGGGGCGTATGGGTAATTATAACAAGTTGGGGACTTTTGACAGGACACCAGGACACCGCCACATCCACCGATGATGATTGTGCACTTGTCAGCTTTTTGTCATGTCTCCCCATGTCGCTCGATGAGCAACTCTAGCATCTGTCCAAGTTCTAGTTTCGGGAGCCTGAAGAGCTCGAAGGACACTCACCTGACACCAACAGCTCGCTGGTGCTGTTGACCAAATTGTCCATAATTGGCTGGAAGGTGTAGAAGGTCAGCGTTTCCAATTTGTTTGCCTGGACATTGATGGACAGCAGGGCTGGTGTGCCGCGGAGGAGTCCGTTGTCGATCTTCTTCAGAAGATTATTCCGCAGATTCAAAGTTTTCAGCGTATTTAGGCCATCGAGTGCACGTTCGGATATTCTCTGCAAAAGAAAGTACAACCAATTGGGGGTTAAATATAAGTTTTTAGTGTTTTTCACAATTAAATTCGATTAAATATCGGGGGCAAAAGGCCACGCATATATGTTATTTTCTACTCTCCACAACCGCAGAGCAGAGCAGAGCTAGGAAAAACCGAAAAATATATATTTTCGTGATGCCATTTTTCCGCCTTTTTGCGTATTATTTTCATTGTTTTTTCACAGAAAGTTGTGTATTTGTGTGTGCTGCCATTGTTGTGTGGCATATAAATACACACATCACACATATGTACATATGTACTGGCTTGTTTTTTTAACTTGTATGTCCCAATTCGTTTGTCTTGAATTTTATTATACGGAAAAAGTGTTTTCTTTTATTTCATTTCGGTTTCTGTTTCTGTTTATTCTGTTTTCCTGTTTTTTTTACTTGTTTCTTGTCGGCTGAAAGTGAAGGCGGTGCTTTCCGCCATTATTTAATATTCAATATGCTTTGTCGGTGGAAATGGAAAAATTATGCATATTAAATGACAAGTCCAAGTAGGATATACGCGAGGCATGTGCCAGAGTTCCCTGAAAAATAACCCATGTCCACTCCTTCCACATTCCCATTTGTATTTGTGTTGTGTTTTGCTTGCCAAAGATGATTGACATAAAAAAAAATTGTATGTATTTATTTTATTGCGATATTTTGTTAGTTTGATGGGCGATCCTTCGATGCCTACACATCCAATTTATTAGCTTGACAACAGCGAAAAAATATAATTTACGAGCCATTTATGTGCGCGGATTGAGTAAACAAAGTTATGACACCGGGATTAATGGCCCACGGGTGGGTAGGGAAAACTCTGAGCTGCACTGAAAAAACCTCTGTGAGGCTATTTGCTTATATAATTTGTTCTTCTTCAGACTTTTCTTTTAGGTCAAACTGCTGTTAAAGTGCAGCAAACTCTTTTAATTTGCCAAGCACAGACGGCTAGCTACTTAAAGCCGTTAATTCTCTCACACTCGCTTAACCCCTTAGCCTCTTAACCCCTTAACCCGCTTATCTGTTCATCCTCACCCACATACACACACACACACTTGCAGCTAGCGTTTTATGTTGTGTCAGACCTAAACCTTTTAACGGAAAATGATTTATGAAGTGAGCAAGAAAAAAAAAGCGGAGAGAAATAAGGAAAAGAAGCTCAAGCCAAACATGCAACACAATTTGCTTTTATTGGAGGCGACAACAGCACGGACACCTCACAAAGTCGTCTTTGTGGAGTCCTCGAATCCCCGAATCCCTGAATCCCAGAGTCCTGCAATCCTGGCTCCCTGTCTGGGAAACAATGCGCTGCGTGGGCGATAACAAGCCCAATCATTATGGCTATGACAATGCGGCAAAAGAAGATGGATCCGGAACGGGAACCCAGAGCAGGACCCCACTTGAGCGGCTGCTCTTGAGTGTGTCCTGTGTGTGCGTCCTGGTTTCATAGTGTCCTGACACATATGCGAGTCGTCTGAGTGTGACATGATATGCGAGCACTTTGTAAAATGGGAAAAAGCGAAGGAGACTCTGCCGCTGCCGCACAAGGAACAATGTTGTTGGATATGCCAGGATATGGATATTCAGGATTTACGCTCCGCTCGCTCGCCTTGCTCGTGTTAAGCGACATTTTTTCTATTTACCCCAACGGCTGGCCATTTTTATGGCACAAGGACCTTTGCAGAAGGGACCACGCATATCAGATGGCAGAATGGGAGCGCCATAAATCCATTATTCCCATGATTTGTTATTCAATATTTTGTAAGTAGATTAACTTGCGGCGCACACACATTTGTTAGCCCGCCGTCCAGTGTCCAGGACTCGTATTAAGGCAGCCGAAAAGCTGGGGAAAACATAATTTACCAATCTATTTATCATATTTGCGCCCCGGCGGCCACTGCTGAGTGATCACTTAAATCACCACAAGAATAGACATTCGAATTGAATTTATGACACCAGCAAAAACTTGTTTGTGTGTGACTGTTCCGTTGCCTTTGCCCCAAGGATGTGCCATTTATGGCACGGAACTCTGCCACTCCTCCGTGGCGTCCTCTCGTCCCTTCTGTTTCTTATGGCCACTCGGCAATTTATGGCCTCTTAAGTCAGCTGCTTCCAACTTGACCAAGTGGTAGTGGAGGCAGACAAATCTTTTTAATCCACTTGCATTAGAGTTGATTGAGAAGTTCGCTGCTGGTAAATTGCATAGTTCCCCTGCTCTCTCTCTATATGTATATATATGGTCTATAATAATACTATATAGGTGGCACTGCGGCCATAAATAAAGCAGTCAAACAACTATTACGAGCACCGTAAATGCGCACTTGTAAAACTTCAATCAATCTGCGAATTAATGTATTATCTTAAGAGGGATTTTAGCAGCTTGGTACTAGTTTATGATCAATTCATTGGAAAGTTTATCATTGAGGGAAAAGCTTAAAAATACTCTAAAGAACTCACCTCGATACGATTATCATCCAGCTCCAGTTCACTCAGACTCCACAGCTCCGCAAAGACCGTATCTCCGATAAAGTTCAACTCATTACGCGTCAGTTTCAGGACATTCAGGTTACCCAAACCACGGAATATCTCGCTGGTCAGGACATTAATCTGATTGTGGGCCAGATTCAGATAGGTCAGCCTGGCCATGTCCGCAAAGAGACCCTCGTGCAGGGTACTAATGTTGTTATTATTCAGGAACAACCTCTCGCAAAGCGGCAAATTGCGGAAGGCATAGCGATCCATCTCAAAGATCTGGTTGTGCTCCAGGTTCAGTTCCCTCAACCGAATGTGATTGGCAAAGGCATCCTGGTCCAAAGCCATAATGTGGTTGTTGTTCAGGATAATCCGTTCGAGGAAGGGCAGGTTGGCAAAGGCATAGCTCTTCACAATCTCCACCTGCGAGTATTCAATGACAATGCTGCTCAGGTTCTTCAGCGGCTCAATGATCATCGTGGGTATATAGTCCAATCGGGCATTGTTCTGGATCACAAACTTGAGCTCCCTCAACCGCTTCTGCTGATAGAATCGCGTCCAGGTGGTATCATTCTGATGCAGCCCCTCCGAGAACACCCAGCACTCTGCCTTCTGCACGGGCACATGGTTCTCATCTGGAGTACAGTAGCACATCAGTTTCATGTCCCGTCGCCGAGTGCAGAACCCAGTGCTGTCCATGGGTCCACTGTAGCCCACACTGCCAGAGTTAATGCCACTGTTGCTGCTGCTGCTGCTGGTGAAGGTATAGCCCGAGGAGGAGCCCATCGTCGAGGAGGAGGAGGAGCCATAGTATCCCCCGCCATTGTTCATGCTGGTGGAGGCGGCCACCGCTCCACTGCCACTTCCACGGCCCCGACTGCGACGCTCCTCCTTGGAGCGGGTCGCCTCGGTGGACTCGATCAGGAGCAGGAGCAGGAGCGAGAGCAGCAGGAAGCAGATGGCTCGTCGGCCCGTCGATGCCGCCATTTTATGGCGCTGATGATGCGGCAACATTGCAAGGATGTTCCTATCGCTCGGCGGCGAGGATTCTGCGAAAAATACGAGAACAATACGACAGTGATGCGGTCAATAAAATCTGTTTATCTCTGAGGTTGGGGTTGAGGGTTGAGGCACTTGGAAAAATCTAAAGGAAAATTATATAAGCAAAGATTTTAAGAGATTTTAAGCACTTATTCCAGTATCTCAAATTAAATAATTAGATTTGTGTAATAGGTTACATCTCATATATTTAATTTATCTCTAAGCAAAACATTTCTTCCCAGTGTGTTGGCCATAAAAACCAGCCAAGGTGGAAACGACTGCCACAAAACAAAAAATTTCGATTTTCATGGTCTTTTCGATTCTGTGTTTCAAAATATTCCCGAATATATACTCATCTCGTAACAAATGGATTTGATTTTATGCGGAGTCGGGCTCTTTTCCCCGGCTACGTCATAAATTCCGCCTTATTTGAGGTAACGAAAAATTGAAACTGGCACCGCGACTTGATAAGCATTCATTTCGCTTTATTTTGCCCACTCGCGTTGGCGTTATTTTATCGTTCCCTCTCTAGGGGGAAGGGGAAAGCCGGTTGAAAGTGCTTCATAAAAATGCTAATTAATGTTGTTAACTTTCTCACTTTTGCTCATATTTCATTTGGGCCAATTCAGCGGGATTCCGCAGTGGGATTCATCCTCGAATTTACCCCCATGAAAGTTGAATTGGCCTCCTGCTGGCTTCATTTGACGCTCGGCTGCTTTGTCACTGTGCCTCCTCCTTCCTCCCCGGTTGCCCGGTTGCTGCCTCACTGGGATTTTTCCTTCACCCCCAGTCACCAGTGTTCCCCCTCCTTTCCATTTACCCCATAAACAAATTTATCGAGCTCATAAATAACTGCAACACTGTCGCTGATTGTTCACTCAACGGCAACAGGGCCGAGAGCTGGCGAATTGCCTACGAATTTCATCCAGCCAAAACAGTCAGCCAGCCAGCCAGCCCTCCGACACTTTTGCATTTCAAGTGTCATTGGGCAAAGTGCTCTCTAATTATGCTCGTATTTTTTAATAAATTAATAAGTCACACTGATGCCGGGCATATTTCGGAACCTGGCTGGCTGCCTGAGAGGCCTCGCCTGCCTGCCGGTTGGTTGGCATAATGAAGTGTAAATAAGTTATTGTCAGTTGTCAAGTGAGTTATCGTCGTTATCGGCAGTCAGAGCCCAGTGATTTGCATAAAATATTGTCGCAATATTGAAAGAGGGGAAATGCTGGGGGATTAGGCGGATGGAAAGCCGAAAGTCACTTGAGTTATTGACTCGGGCATGCTTCATTACATTGATTTCGATTATAAATTTTAAATAAAACGATGATAAGTGCTGCGTAGCATGATGCGATGCTTATTCCGGCTTAGCTGCCTCTCTTTCTCCGCCGCACCCTCTCTCTCTCTCAGGGGAGCCTCGTCCTGGCCAAAGTTCAGGGCTCAAGGAGCATTAGAAGTGGCTCACACCGCAGGATTAAGTACTCAAAATATACATGAAAACTTTGGCGAGCACAGAGCCAGACGCTGCCAGATGAAGATGACTTGATGACTTCAATTTAAATATCAAAGCAAAGTCGAAACTAAAATGTCCTTGCACACGCATACACACACACACACAGCCGCAGAGCCGCACAGGTTCGAGGACCACAGCAGCCGCAGCTCACAGATAGCTGGATATATGACGTTGGCTTGGGGGAGATATTTCAGATATTCTGGGAATTTTTAAGTGTGTCGTCAAGCAGCAAATCAAAAAATATACACACACACTCTCCCAGCATATGTGCGTGTGTAATTAGATTTTCCGGCAAGGGAGAGGGAGAGAAAGGACCTCCACCTCGCACACTTACACCTTTTTATTGCAACGCCTCGCTGACAGCCAATTACTCACGAGTCCTGGGGGAGAGCAGGACTGGGGGAGAGAGTCCTGCCAGAGCATTACAAGCAAATGAAAAATCAATTTGTTGATTATGCATAAATCATAAGATTTATGCGACTCCTCACTCGTTCATTCATGAGTCATTTATCAAACGAGCCAACTTCTTTTTTGCCTTCACGTCAAAATCGCAAAAACAGAAAGCGACGAAGCGAATCGCAAATCGAACTGGAAGGGGATAGCAAAAACACACTACACCAAAAAGAAATCAACTAAATATGGATTGAGATAATAACTATATAATTCCAGAAGTAAATACAAATATATTAAATAAGAAACTAAGCTCAACATTTAAGATATATAACATACAAAGGAAAGCCTTCATATTTAGTTTTATCAGTGAAAACCATGAAACATTTGTTGGCTGAAATTAATATATTATATGCATCGTTGTATATTAAACAATTTTCCTTAGTGCTTACTGCCTCAAAGGAAAAGTATTATTACCTTGAAGCTCCAGCTGAACCTGATAAAGTATATACAGCCGATAACGATGTCTAGACCGCCTAGCTCTTTATAGTCTTTTCATACAAAATAGATGGAATCTTTGCTATAGATTAAATGCAAGCTGCGAGCAAATTGATCTCCTGGCTTAAGTTCTTCATCTCGGAAAGTGGGCAAACACAAGGAGCACCGAGGGCAAGCCAGCCAGCCAACATAGCAAACCTTGACGACAAACAATTACCAAGAAAATTATTCCCCCAAGGGATATAGAAGCAGCAGTAGCAGCAGCAACATGGCTGCTTCACGACTATATATAGACACACGACTATATATAGTAGGCAAAACAGCAAGTATAATATTGTTGGCAGCAGAAACAGCAAGGACATTGTACTGCAGCAACCATGCCTGACTGGGGGACCAAGAGCAGCAAGGACTCTAACGCAATATGAGGAGGTAAAGCATAGCAAGCACAAGAGCATGAACCAAAAGGACAGTAGGATCGTTAAGGAATGGAAATTTGTAATCAAATTTCTCCATTAAACCAGCAACATAGGTAACATTAGCAACATGACCAAGGAAAAGTATGTCATGCAACTTAGAGGCAGCAACATTGCATGTATTTTACTTCAAAACAATTAGAAAGTTGGAGTTAGGAGAAAGTTGCCACATTTAAGCCGGCAACATCAATGAAAGTAAGAGTTGCAGCTACAGCAGATAAATGAAAGCAAGAGCAACATAGCAACAGGACCAGCTGCAATAATTACATGACCAGCAACATTAGCAACAGCAGCAGCAACAACCAGAGGTCCTGCGGCAACTATGACAAACCAGGATCCGGGGCTCTGTAATGTTCTCTCTCTCGCTCAGCCCCTCGGCAGCAATGTGAAGGAAAATTGCAACAAGAAGCAATTTGTCTTGTTGTTTATAATTTCGATTAAACTTTCGAAGCGAGAAATGCACATGGATGTGTGGGGAAAGCCCCCCGAAGTGTACGGGTGTGCGTGCAAACAAAAGGGCGAAGCGAGTTTTCCGAGGGGGAAAAGCGTGTGAAAGTGTGACAGAACTGTCGACAGAGCGCAGGGAGGGAAGCAGCAGCAGCAGCAGCAGCAACAGCAAACCGCAGCAACAACAATGATGACGGCGACCCAGTGGGAAATTGGAGCAAAGCCGCAGCTAAGCTGACAGCACCGACTGCGACTACGACTGTGGCAATTTTCCAGGAGGGAAAATCATATCCTACTCGGGATAATATTTTCCAGCCCTGATAGCTTTAAAAAGGCGGCCCAGGACCCAGGACGTTGTTTGCTCTGTATCGTATCAGCCAAGTTTGAGGCAAACACATAGATACACAGCCAAGTTGAAAGTCGAAGGACTAAAGGCGATGCCAGGACTACTCACTCGACTGCGTTGTTGCGTGGAAATTGTTTTCAATTTTCGTTATTTGACAAATGGTGACACTTCCGCTGAGGCAGTCTCAGCTTCAGCATCATCATCATCAGTCTGGCCAGGACTTTAACAATATGTACACATGTCTCACTCCCAAGCCAGGACTTTCTCCGTGTGTCATGAGGTTTTGTCAACAATAAGTTTTTATGCCGGAAGAGTCGTAGTTGTTTATGGCAGTCCCCTCCCATCATCTGCAGGATTCATCTCGGGCGGCAAAGGCTCAGCCGCAGCAGCATCATCAGCATCAGTCGTCGAGGGGTTTTGGAGTACACAGGGAAAAAGGATAATAGAACAGGCCAGACAACTAGATTTTTAAATAACTAAGAACAGGTACCAAAAGCTAAACTGCTAAAGAATTATTAAGAAAATGTATATCTTTAATATACTAAATATTTTATAACAACTCCTTAACCCAAAACATTAATTTCTCTCTCTGCAGGACTTGCCATAAATATATGTATACGTTTATGTACGTGCAAGTCCTGCTATCCCTATCATGTGAATATAACTTTAAGCTGTGACATGAACGCAGCTCGGACGTGCTTGACTTTGACTGACTGACTCTGACTGACTCCGACTGACAGACGAGTCGTGAGGTGGAAATGGAATGGCACCGGTGATGGAGCCACTAAGGGTTAGTCCCTCTCTCTCTCTGTCCATTTAGTTTAGCTGCAAAATAAAGCGACAGCTACAAAAACTTGGTCAGTTGGACAAACTGCAGTTCCTGTCTTCCTGTACTGTACACCATCTCCGAAGCTATAGCTTCCTCCTCCTGACTCCTATCCCTATCCTATTTTCCGCCTGACAAATGACGCAGGGCCAAAACGGGGCAGACGAAACACAGCCATCAATCAGCGTGGCCAAGTTATGACGTCCGCACGTCCACGGCCACGTTTTATTCGCATTTTTATTAAGGATTCCGGGGCGATATCAGGACATCGGGATATCTGGATTTGTCTTTGGCTTGCGTCACTTGTCAGCGCCAGTTGGAGCCTGCTTCGATCAAATCTGTAACGGGTGGCTCCAGCTCCAGCTCCTACTTTTGCTTTTGCTCCTTTTTTGTTAGTCCCCCATTTAGCTGCCATATATATATTTATTGTCAGCCATGTCACACTTCATAAATATTTCATAAATTGCTTCGCATTTATTTTGACAGTCGCGCCAAAGTTTCGACTGCCATTTGTTAACCCTTTCAGCTGCCGCTGCGCTGTTCGCCTTTTTTTCTTGGCCCGGTTATTGTTATTTCAGTTATCATGCGAGGCAGTCATTGCCAGCTGTCACACATATTGTCCTTGGAGGAGGGACGGATGCCTCCGCCCACAGTCGCCAAGCGAAAATGAAAGATTTGCACCACCTAAAATGGTATTCATGTTCCCCAGGACCCTCATTGCCTCGCACTTTTGAGTATTTTCAACTTTGCTTCGCTTCCATTCGCCCAGGACCTCTGCAGGACTCCGAGTCGTCGTCGTCGTCGTCGTCTTGAACGTTTTTTAGCTTTTAGCATACCTGTCAGCTGAATAAAATGAAAACTAGTTGCCAGAGCAAACTTTCGCTTCGTCCTTCATCCTCTCCCAATATTGTTGACACATATTTTTTTGGGGGGATAAAAAAAAGGAAAGCGCAACTTGGCTATATGCATATGCCTGCCACCTGCCACGCCCCCTGCGGCAAAAGGGACAGACAACGCCCCACTGCACTTGAGCTGGCTGGCACATTACTTTGGCCGTCACTCCACGATCCTTCCTTTTTTTTGCGAGACTCGCTTTTTGGTGGCCTCTTTTCTGGCTTTAAGTTCTGCTGCACAATTTGCCAGCTAACGTCCTTACCCTGGGCCAAGGATCTGAGCGGGAACACGGCAAGGAAATTGTTAAAAGGAAAAATTAATTTCCTTAGTTCTACATTTGATTTAGAAGCTGAAATTAGCTCGATGAATCTAGTGTCTTTAAGGATTTTAGATAAGAATACATTGTTTATCTTTATAAGAATAATATAATAATACTTTACAGAGAAAACAACAAAATCTTGAACTGAAAGCCATAAGCTTTAAGTGCCAGAATCCTTCTAAAATGTCCTTTAAAATTGTTTTATAAATTCTTTAAAATGTACTAAAATTTAGTCACCGTTTCCCCTCACAGTGTAGCACTTTCGTAAGTCCTGGGGAACTGCTTAACGCCCAAATTGGCAGCACCTGGCCAAAAGTGTTGGCTGACTGTCCTGGCAGATAAGTAGTCGTCCGGGGCTTTTTCTTCGCTTCTTCAACCAGCTTTTCCCGCTTTCCCCCTTTTTTTGTGATTTTTTTTGGAGAGAGGTGGAGGAGTGACAAGGGCTGTGTGTTTTGACTTTCAACGAGGAGCGAAATTATTTTCGCTGTTGCAAGTTTGTTGCAACTTTTGCCTGACGCAAAGTGAAAATTTGTCATGCTCGTTGAGCTGCTTGAGCTGCTGCTGCTGCTTGCCCCTCTCCAGATATAATAAATTCTTCTTCAGTTAAGCAAAAATGCTCCACAAAGACAAACAAAAACACACACAAACACGGCGGCAAACATAAATACAGACTTGGCAGACAGACTCGTCGTCGTCTGTGGAACTTTTAACTCACTTGCCAAATATTTTAGCAATTTTTGAATAAAACATTGCCAAGATTCCAGGCGGTCCCCTCCTTTCCTCATCATCATCATCATCATCATCATCCACCTGTGTTCTGAGCAGCACTTTAAAAGCGAATTTCATAGGGGTCTCAACTTAATTAGTTGGGATTCCTGGAGGGGGGTAGCCCGTGTTTTTCCCCGGCATATGTATATTTTCTGCCCGCACCCTGACTGCTTCTTACCTTTCAACAGAGTCCTGGAAAAGGCCAAGTCACGTACTGTACAGGACGACGACGATCTGCTGACTAATGCAATGTCTCTGCAAATATATATAGAGAGAGGGGACCACGAATTAGTTTGATATTACTTATTATAATGTCATGTTTTCGGTCTGAAATTATAGCGGCCGGTCGTCGGTGCATACTTTATTCATAAGCCCCCGGGAGGGGACCCTGGACGTTAATGGAAATTACGCATTAAATAAATAGCTCTGAGCATATTACATGAATCGGGAATGAGTAAGGATTTTGAACGGTTATAGCCAGAAATTTAAGTAATACACTTCATGGAGATACAGGATTATAGAGAAAATATATATATTTTTATACAAATCTTAAGCTCTCTATAGCTCCATTCTCAAGTTTCAAGTATTCCATTTTAAATTCAATATTTTCTTTACCTGCAACGTTTACTTAATTATTTAATTTGATATTGTAACCCGAAATTAGTACCTGTACCTTTGCCATTAAAGTTTATAATATAGTAGACCCGTGCAATCCCCTGTTTGATTATATAATTTTTATAGGCTCCAAAGATCAAAGGCTTGGCCCTGGCAAATCCTAATTGCGTTAATTTTCCAGTAATTGTGGTCCAACTAAGTTCGCTTCCAGCCAAAACATGCGATAACGTAAACAGCAGAAAAAGGCTTTGGGAACAAAAGGGAAAAACTATTAACACGAAGGGGGGACACATTGGGTGGGGTCCTCCACCCAGTAAGGGGGTTGTGTGTGTATAATGTGTGTGTGTGTGCGTGGGTAGTGTCAGGGGTCTGAGGTCTGGGGTCTGGGGTCAGGGGTCAGGGATCGTGGGTGTGGATGGCGCGTTATTCAAATAGTTTCGTTCGCCCGGCTCGCAGCGGAGACGATAACGATGATGACGACAGCCCAAGGCAATTCCCCTTCGGGTGCCACGCCCACATGTGTGGCATTAAGGGGAGTCCAGAGAGAGAGAGAGAGAGAGAGAGAGAGGGGACACTCCATTGTGCCGCCTGTATGAAAATGGAAATGAAATAATTGCATTGGCTACGCCTATAAGAAGAGGCCCACAAAAAACAGAAAAAAGCTGGGAACCCTAGCCACACACTGGGGGAAAAGTGGGTTAAATAATACATTTTTTAATCTTTAATACGGATTTAAATAAGCAAGTATTTTTTAAGAATTTAGAAAGGTTGTATGAGCAGAAAACCTTTATAAATTAGTCTATAATTATATAAAACAGATACATAAAATATGTATAACTTTCCTAACAAAAAGTCCAGCGAAGTTGGTCTAAAAAAAAGGGAAACTATCTTTCGGAAGTTGAGGTTTATATATTCTTGCAGTTTACAATTGAATATTAGAATCTAATTGGAAATCAATATATAACTAAGCTTAAAATATGAGCATTCCTTAAAGGATATCTTTACAAGACAATTTATTCGAAAAATCAAAATTTCAAAAACTCATAACTAAGTCAAAAATGCGTTAATTTCAATTCGGAAAGCTTTCCTATCTTAGTTTTTGTTAGGTTAACAAATCTGCACACTCAATTAAAAATTTAGGAAAATTCAATTTTTTTGTCAATTTTTACAAATTTTAACGATGTAACCCCTTATAAACTTTTTAAAATTTTGAAAAAATTAAATTTTCCTCAGACATAGCCAGATCGATTCAGCTTTTCATTCCGATCAAGGATATATATGATATATAGGGTCGGAAATGACTTCTTCACAGATTTACAAGCTCCCGACTAAAATTCGAATACCCTTGTTTTCAAATATTTTAGGAGTTTAAGACTTAAGAGTTTAAGAGTTTCTTCTAATTCAAAGCTACCAAATGTAATTTCCTTAATTTTCCAGCTTAATTGCATGACTAAATGAGAATTTTTCAGGCTTTCTTATAGTGCACTGACTGTTTAGAGGGTTGACTGTGGGGAATGGTGGTTGTTTAGTGCAATCATAATCGCCGCCAACGCGTTGCTGACCATTTACTGGTCGCAACATTTGTTGTTTTTTACCCATTTCGCCGTTAATTATGCCCGCATTTGTGGCCACCGCCCCCTCCCCTTATCTAGTTCTCTAGTTGTGTGTACACTTTTTGTGTCATTTGAATATTTAATAAGATTTATGCCATTCATGCAGCTGATGCCTTTCGATGATTAAGCATTGAATAATTGCCGACGGAGGCGATTCTCTGGAGGCAGAAGAAGGAGGCAGCGGCGGCGGGGGAGTAGTGCTTTTGTGGCAAACCGAACAATTGTCGGGAATCTAGGTGGGAGTGAGTGCGGGTGGATAATATCGGGGCATCTAAATTTGATTGTCGGTGGAATGTCAAACAAGTTCAAACGGCGGCTGCCACTGGCAACCGACCGAAGCCAAATGAAACCCCAGAAAAGGGCACCAGCCGGTGAGCAAAAACCCCCGCAACAGGAAAAATCAGGAAAATGCCAATGGCAGTGGGTAAAACATATGGAAATTGGATTCAATGACATTGATTGTTCAATTGGACATTGCTGGGGTTAAGGGGGAGCAGTGGGTAATACGATATAGCAACGATCGAATTTGTTTAGATCATTAAAGTAGTTAGGGTCTTATTACAAGGGAATTGAACTTTAGAGGTATTTTTGTTTGGCTGTGGGATGTTTGAGAAGTTATTCTGGAGTTTTGTATTCACTTGATAGCTACTTACTAAATTAATGTTTAATTCATTTACATCCTCATATCTAGCTTGTAAGTTCAGTAAAACTCTCTTGAACAGTCTCCTACAACTTTCTTTTAAGAACTACTGTCAGCAGAAAGTAAAGGAATATCCTTCTCCTGATTTGATTAAAATCAATTTGCCTAAACATCTCCCTTTCCTTGACATCCTTTCTAATACTTAGCTCCATTACCCTCCTACTCTTCTTTTTATTATTTGGCCCCACATCATGCCATGTGAACAATTTGCATGTAGATAATCTGGGTGAGTCGCTTTCGGAAATTGCTGCAACGTTTCCATTTCATGTGTGCGAGGCAATAAAAATTTAATATAATTACGCACAATTTCCAGTTGAAGTTTATGGTAGGGACATGCTCCAGAAACGAGTCACAGGACTCTCTCTCTCTCACTGCCTCGCTAGACTCGACGTGACTTTTGACAGTGCCGTCGTTCTGGGGTCCTGCCAGCTCGCATTTCCAGGCACTTTATGAGCCACCGCCTCGCCAAGACAAACATAAACACTTGTGCTTTCCCCCAAAAAGATGAGGGGGCGTGGCAGGACTGGCAGGACTGCAGCTGATTTCATAAAGTGTAACAAGCCAAAGCTTTGAGCTCGACTGCTGCGACAAATAAGCGACAGCGGAGCCGCAAGCTCCTTTCGCAGGAGAAAAGTTTGTGCCAGAGTTTCAAGGGATACGAGCGAATGAGTGTGTGTGTGTGTGTCACCCTCTCCTCCCACTCACAGGACACGAAGGAGACACCGCTGCCAGTGCCTGCGAGTTAAATATTTGTTCCGCTTGTTTACATTGAAGACCCCAAAAGCAAAGTTCCCTCGTGCTCCTCCTACTCCTGCCTGGCCCGCCTCTTTCCTGAGCCTCCTCTTGTAACTGCTTTACCCCCAGGTCCTTGCCCGTTGGCAAGTTGTTATTTCTTAATATTGAGAGCCGCGGATGATATGGGAGGCGCGTAGAACAAGCTCCGGGCTCTGACTCTGAGTGTGGGACGTGTGACAGGTTACACGGGTTCCCCTTTCCAACCAGATCATCAATTGTTTGATTTTATTTCTGCACTTGAAAAAATACATTTTACAAGAGAACTGTCACTGGGAATTTGCCAGTATATTATTATGGTTTAAGGTAGATTTTCAAAGCTTTGAAATTACAATAATTTACATATTACTATAGCTCTTAAAATATTTATATTCTTTCAGAGTATTATAGTTTCAGTCAGAAGCTTGTTTCGCTGTGAAGAAGTCATTTCCGACCCTACAAATTATATATATTCTTGATCAGCTTGAAAAGCCGAGTTGATTAAGCTATGTCCGGGCAAAATTTATTTTTTTACGAATTTTGAAATTTTTATAAGGGGTTACATCATTAAAATTTCAAAAAATTGAAAAAATATGTAAAGTTTTTAATCTTGAAAATTATTATACAGATTTGATAACCCAATAAAAACTAGAACTGTAAAGCTTTCCGATTTGAAATTAATGTATTTTTGGCTGTTATGATAAATTTTCATGATCAAACTGTAAGTGTTGGGTTTCCTATAGTTAGTTTCTTTTTTCCTACTTGTTTTTCATTACTTAAATCCGATTTTTTTCCTCTGTGCACTCTATGATTTCTCAAGGCAATTCAAAAAAGAGGAAAAAACTTGCCAACAAAGTTGTTACAATCAGAACGCCTGATGGGATGAGGAACCTCCCACAGCTCCTCCCCCTTGGAAAAAAAACAACAAAAAAACACAAACAATCCTGGCTAATGTAATTGGGTAATAAAGCTGCCTAGCCTGGCCTCTCCTGGCCTGGTCGAGTGTGTTTGTGGAGTAGTAGCACCTGTCCCCATTACCAACTATATAAACATTAGTGACAAAAATTAATTAGGCCGACGCAGAGCAACAGGACGAAAAGCCGAAAACTGGAAAACTAGGAAGTAACACCGTTCTGGCCATGCTAAATGGTCATAATCAACTTCCGTTGTGTCCGCACCCATGGCCACGCCACGCCCACCGTCCACCATCGTCCTGGTAAACAACCTCCGCCCCCCTGCCGTTATGCCGAACCGAAATGTGCTCATTTACAACAAATAAACAGGGATATAAAAACCATGAAACTGATTTTTCACGCCATTTTCATTTACATTTTTGCGGTTATTTTTTGGGGCCATTTGCGCGCTCTCGCCCCCACCCTTCTCCTCTTCTGCTCGCTAGCCTGCTCCTTGTTTGTTGTCCTTGACGCCGGCAGCGCAGTAGCAGCGAACGCATGTGTAATTAAAATATAATAATTTCCCCGAATACCGCAACAAGCAAATAAACAAACAAAGAACGCAGCCCAGCGAAAGCAAAAGCAGAAGGCAGCGAAAGCGAA